AGTAACATTGTTTATAAACATCGATCAGACGGGAGAGATACAAAGTAACATTGTTTATAAACATCGCTCAGACGGGAGATGGAGAGATACAAAGTAACATTGTTTATAAACATCGCTCAGACGGGAGATGGAGAGATACAAAGTAACATTGTTTATAAACATCGATCAGACGGGAGAGAGAGAGATACAAAGTAACATTGTTTATAAACATCGCTCAGACGGGAGATGGAGTATATGCTGCTGATAATTCGCTCTCCCTGGCTCTCATCTCGCTCCCTCGGTGACCTGACAATGATATCATTATATAATACTTTTTTTTATTACATACCCAATTTAAGGCCCAGAAATGTCATCACTGGATCTTTGTACTTCTCTATGCAATGCAGGCAGATCTTGGCTGGTGGGAGGGGCCAGCAAGGTGCTGTACATAGCTTCTAGAAAACATTGCAGCACCCTACTGGCTCCTTCCACCAGCCATTATCTACCTGCATTGCATAGAGAAGCACAGAGACCCTTCGATTACATCACTAAGTATAAAATGTCATGAAAATGGAAATGTTTTATCTCATTGTCATTCGTATGTTGATGGGGGGGGGGGGGGCAGGGAAGCAGGATATCAGCAGATTAGGTGTCAGCTCTAACAATCGTATAACTTGGTACCGGTCGGTCGGATCGCGGAGATGCAGCGAATTTAATTCCGGAAAGGACTCCACAAATATGTACAGTTTCTTCCCAGTAAGGCAGTGGGGGGGGGGGGGGGGGGGGGGGGGTGCCTTGGGAGTAACAAGGGAAGCAAATTCATACCTTCCATCTGTCCTGGATCTCATGGGGATTGGGGGAGGGATTTGTGCTGGGAGGAGTGGATTGGGGGGAGGGGGGATCTGTGCTGGGAGGAGAGGATTGAGGGAGGGGGGATTTGTGCTGGGAGGAGAGGATTGGGGGGAGGGATTTGTGCTGGGAGGAGTGGATTGGGGGGATCTGTGCTGGGAGGAGAGGATTGAGGGAGGGGGGATTTGTGCTGGGAGGAGAGGATTGGGGGGAGGGATTTGTGCTGGGAGGAGTGGATTGGGGGGAGGGGGGATTTGTGCTGGGAGGAGAGGATTGGGGAGGGATTTGTGCTGGGAGGAGTGGATTGGGGGGAGGGGGGATCTGTGCTGGGAGGAGAGGATTGAGGGAGGGGGGATTTGTGCTGGGAGGAGAGGATTGGGGGGAGGGATTTGTGCTGGGAGGAGTGGATTGGGGGGAGGGGGGATCTGTGCTGGGAGGAGAGTATTTGGGGGAGGGGTGATTTGTGCTGGGAGGAGAGGATTGGGGGGATTTGTGCTGGGAGGAGAGGATGGGGGGAGGGATTTGTGCTGGGAGGAGAGGATTGGGGGGGGATTTGTGCTGGGAGGAGAGGATTGGGGGGATTTGTGCTGGGAGGAGAGGATTGGGGGGGGGGGGGATTGTGCTGGGAGGAGAGGATTGGGGGGATTTGTGCTGGGAGGAGAAGATTGGGGGGGGGATTTGTGCTGGGAGGAGAGGATGGGGGGATTTGTGCTGGGAGAGGATTGGGGGGATTTGTGCTGGGAGGAGAGGATTGGGGGGGATTTGTGCTGGGAGGGGAGGATTGGGGGGGATTTGTGCTGGGAGGGGAGGATTGGGGGGGATTTGTGCTGGAAGGAGAGGATGGGGGGGGGGATTTGTGCTGGGAGGAGAGGATTGGAGGGGGGATTTGTGCTGGGTGGAGAGGATTGGGGGGAGGGGGGATTTGTGCTGGGAGGAGAGGATTGGGGGGAGGGATTTGTGCTGGGAGGAGTGGATTGGGGGGAGGGGGGATCTGTGCTGGGAGGAGAGGATTGAGAGAGGGGGGATTTGTGCTGGGAGGAGAGGATTGGGGGGAGGGATTTGTGCTGGGAGGAGTGGATTGGGGGGAGAGGGGATCTGTGCTGGGAGGAGAGGATTTGGGGGAGGGGTGATTTGTGCTGGGAGGAGAGGATGGGGGGGATTTGTGCTGAGAGGAGAGAGGATTGGGGGGAGGGATTTGTGCTGGGAGGAGAGGATTGGGGGGGGGAATTTGTGCTGGGAGGAGAGGATTGGGGGGATTTGTGCTGGGAGGAGAGGATTGGGGGGGGATTTGTGCTGGGAGGATAGGATTGGGGGGGATTTGTGCTGGAAGGAGAGGATTGGGGGGCGGATTTGTTCTGGGAGGAGAGGATGGGGGGGGGGGGATTTGTGCTGGAAGGAGTGGATTGGGGGGGATTTGTGCTGGGAGGAGAGGATTGGGGGGGATTTGTGCTGGGAGGGGAGGATTGGGGGGGATTTGTGCTGGGAGGGGAGGGATTGGGGGGGATTTGTGCTGGAAGGAGAGGATGGGGGAGGGATTTGTGCTGGGAGGAGAGGATTGGGGGGATTTGTGCTGGGAGGAGAGGATTGGGGGGATTTGTGCTGGGAGGAGAGGACTGGAGGGGGGATTTGTGCTGGGGGGAGAGGATTGGGGGGAGGGGGGGGGGGGGGGATTGTGCTGGGAGGAGAGGATCGGGGGGATTTGTGCTGGGGGTAGAGGATTGGGGGGGGGTTTGTGTGCTGGGAGGAGAGGATTGGGGGGATTTGTGCTGGGAGGAGAGGATTGGGGGGGGGATTTGTGCTGGAAGGAGAGAATTTGGGGGGGGGATTTGTGCTGGGAGGAGAGGATGGGGGGGATTTGTGCTGGAAGGAGAGGATTGGGGGGGGATTTGTGCTGGGGGAGGAGAGGGTTGGGGGGGATTTGTGCTGGGAAGGGAGGATTGGGGGGGATTTGTGCTGGAAGGAGAGGATGGGGGGGGATTTGTGCTGGGCGGAGAGGATTGGGGGGAGGAGGGGGGATTTGTGCTGGGAGGAGAGGATTGGAGGGGATTTGTGCTGAAAGGAGAGGATGGGGGGGGGATTTGTGCTGGGAGGAGAGGATTGGAGGGGGGGATTTGTGCTGGGAGAGAGGGACTTGTGCTAGAAGGGGAGGATTGGGGGGAGGATTTGTGAAGGGAGGGGAGGACGGGGGAGGGGTTGTAGAGATTTGTGCTGGAAGGGGGAGGGGATCTGGGGGTAAGGCTCCTTCCTCCTAGGTATCACATATATATATTCTGGAGGAAGGGACACAGGAGGTGTTACCGTTCCATGGTTTAGGGGGCGCAATACTCCCCTTGCCTCCCCTTGACTACACCAGCGGTGGAAAGCACCACGAGGAGACAAGAACATCTCACCTTCCCCAGTCCGGCCTCCTCCTGGGACCAGTCCGGCCTCCACCTTCACCAGTCCGGCCTCCTCCTGGGACCAGTCCGGCCTCCACCTTCACCAGTCCGGCCTCCACCTTCACCAGTCTGGCCTCCTCCTGGGACCAGTCCGGCCTCCACCTTCACCAGTCTGGCCTCCTCCTGGGACCAGTCCGGCCTCCTTCTGGGACCAATCCGGCCTCATTACCTCTTGATGATGACGGCTTACAGCGAGTGACAACCCAAAATTCAGTGAAATGGGACTGTCGTGACAACGTTGACTATCGTAGACTCGTGGTGTCACACTCTAATAATCAGCTAATTGACTCCAAACACCCGGAAAGGTTTCCTGAGCCTGTGATTGGTCTCTCGGTCGGGTTCGGTAGGTTACACAACCATGGGGAAGACTGCTGACTTGACGGTTGTCCAGGAGACAGTCACTGACACCCTCCACCAGGAGGGCGAGCCACAAAAGGTCATCGCTGAAGAAGCTGGCTGTTCTCAGAAGCTGGAGACTCACAAGGTGTGGACCACGGATGGTGTCAGAGCTTCAAGAGCCACCACCACACAGAGACGTATCCAGGATGTGGGCTACAACTGTCCTTGTGTCCAGCCACTCCTGAACAAGAGACAACCTCAGAAACGTCTTACCTGGGCCAAGGAGAAAAAGGGGACGGGACTGTTGCTTGGTGGTCCAAAGTCCTTTTTTTCGGATGAGAGTAACTTTGGCATTTCATGTGGAGATCCAGGTCCCGGAGTCTGGAGAAACGAGTGGAGAGGCGCAGAATCCGAGTCGCAGGAGGTCCATTGTGACGTTTCCACAGTCGGTGATGGTTTGGGGAGCCGTGTCATGTGCTGGTGTTGGTCCACCAAAGCCAGCGCAGCCCTCTACCAGGACGGGACGGTTGCTTGGTGGTCCAAAGTCCTTTTTTTGGATGGAAGCAAATTCGGCATTTCATTCGGAGATCCAGGTCCCAGAGTCTGGAGGAACGAGTGGAGAGGCGCAGAATCCGAGTCGCCACCTCATCAGTGCCCATCAGTGCTACCTATCTATACCACCTCATCAGTGCCACTGGTGGGCAGAAAGGGGTGACCATGCCTGGTGGGCAGGAAGGAGGTGACCGTGCCGGTGGGCATGAGGGGGTGACAGTGTCCGGTAGGCGAGGAGTGACAGTGCCCGGTAGGCGAGGAGTGACAGTGCCCGGTAGGCGAGGAGTGACAGTGCCCGGTAGGCGAGGAGTGACAGTGCCCGGTAGGCGAGGGGTGACAGTGTCCGGTAGGCGAGGGGTGACAGTGCCCGGTAGGCGAGGGGTGACCGTGTCCGGTAGGCGAGGAGTGACAGTGCCCGGTAGGCGAGGGGTGACAGTGTCCGGTAGGCGAGGGGTGACAGTGCCCGGTAGGCGAGGGGTGACCGTGTCCGGTAGGTGAGGGGTGACAGTGCCCGGTAGGCGAGGGGTGACAGTGTCCGGTAGGCGAGGGGTGGACAGTGCCCGGTAGGCGAGGAGTGACAGTGCCCGGTAGGCGAGGGGTGACAGTGTCCGGTAGGCGAGGGGTGACAGTGCCCGGTAGGCGAGGGGTGACAGTGTCCGGTAGGCGAGGGGTGACAGTGCCCGGTAGGCGAGGAGTGACAGTGCCCGGTAGGCGAGGGGTGACAGTGCCCGGTAGGCGAGGGGTGACAGTGTCCGGTAGGCGAGGGGTGACAGTGCCCGGTAGGCGAGGAGTGACAGTGCCCGGTAGGCGAGGGAAACATAGGAAACAAGCTCTTGGACTTACCTGAGCTTCAGGTTGTCCATGAACTCCTCCATGGTGACATGATCCAGCAGCACAAAGTCCGCCTTGCCGAACTCCAGGCTCTCCTGCTCCGCCATGCCGGTCCGGGTCCGCGCCCAGAATCAGAGGGGTGCACGGGGCGGCAGAGGAGGCTGCTGGCTGTGCGACTTCTCAGTGACAGGAACCAGAGCGAGAGGATGACGGCAGCCGCTGTGACTTCCTGCTGCGGTTTCAGGCGGGGAGAGGACTCGTCACACGGGGACCATGGAGGGAAGCTGACGAGGGGACAGCGCAGTCTGCACATCTGCTGCACAGATAAGGCAGACCACAGGACCCCCTCGCAGCCGTCGGGGGGGGGAGGTTGGCGAGGACCAGATCCATCCTCAGGACACATTTCATTCCTTCCTGACATGTCGCTCCCATCGGGGACTTTGCTGATCCATATTTCCAAGTCTTCCCACATAGATGTTCCAACCTTCCTCCAGTACCAGAACCCCTCAGTACGGGAACCCCTCAGTACGGGAACCCCTCAGTACGGGAACCCCTCAGTACTGGAACCCCTCAGTACCGGAACCCCCCGATGGGCCAAGTTCTGGAACCTTCCCTTAGATACAAGAGTTGTCAGAAATACTAAGCCATGGACATTGCAACCTCAGGAAATCCCAAAAACTTGACCTGCGGGGGGGGGGGGGCAACTCCTGGTGAGATCTCCTCCAGCGCCCGGAGGTGGTGGAGTTGCCCATGTCCATGTACAGGAGGGGGGGAGGGGATCTCCCGGTATTCCCCAAAGTGGAATATCCTCCTGTCCACCATTCTCCCAGGAGTCACCCAGGACAAACGCCCCCTTGGGCGAGAGGAGATGCCCCCTCTGGGTGGGAGGAGATGTCTTCTCTGGGCAGGAGGAGATGTCATCTCTGGGTAGGAGAAGATGCCCTCTCTGGGTGGGAGGAAATGCCCCCTCTGGGCGGGAGGAAATGCCCCCTCTGGGCGGGAGGAGACTCCCCCACTGGGTGGGAGGCGATGTCTTCTCTGGGTGGCAGGAGATGCCCCCTCTGGGTGGGAGATGTCCACTCTGGGTTGGAGGAGTTGCCCCCCCTGGGCGGGAGGAGATGTCCCCTCTGGTCGGGAAGAGATGTCCCCTCTGGTCAGGAAGAGATGCCACCTCTGGGTGGGAGGAGACTCCCCCTCTGGGCGGGAGGAGATGCCCTCTCTGGGCGGGAGGAGACTCCCCCTCTGGGCGGGAGGAGATGCCCTCTCTGGGCGGGAGGAGATGCACTCTTTGGGTGGGAGGAGATGCCCCCTCTGGGCTGGAGGAGATGCCCTCTCTGGGTGGGAGGAGATGCCACCTCTGGGTGGGAGGAGATGTCTTCTCTGGGTGGGAGGAGATGCCCTCTCTTGGTGGGAGGAGATGCCCCCTCTGGGCTGGAGGAGATGCCACCTCTGGGTGGGAGGAGATGCCACCTCTGGGTGGGAGGAGATGCCCCCTCTGGGTGGGAGGTGATGTCTTCTCTGGGTGGGAGGAGATGCCACCTCTGGGTGGGAGGAAATGCCCCCTCTGGGTGGGAGGAGATGTCTTCTCTGGGTGGGAGGAGATGCCACCTCTGGGTGGGAGGAGATGCCCTCTCTGGGTGGGAGGAGATGTCTTCTCTGGGTGGGAGGAGATGCCACCTCTGGGTGGGAGGAGATGCCCTCTCTGGGTGGGAGGAGATACCCCCCCCCCCCACCTCCCGCTGCGGCTCTCTCGGGCTCTCCTGTCCCACCAGGAGACTGGAGCTTCCGGCTGGCGGTTCTCCCGGCTGACCATAGAGGTCATCAGTGACCAGAACGGCCCCCCGATCCTCTCTATGGTAGAGGAACAGGAAGTGGTGACCATTCATTTCGCCAGATGTAAAAAATGTTTAAAATTCAGAAAGTATCCGACCTCCCCGATCTTGGTACGATCCGAAGGGCAGAGGAGAGGCCTGGGGGCTGAAGAGAACCTGTCACTTGCCTGTCGCTATCACGGGGGATATATTCCTATTCTCCTGCGATAAAAATAAAAGTGATTAAAAAGAAAAAAAAAAATTAAAGTGAAAGAGTAAAACTGAATAAATGATCATATAAAAAAATATACTTCCAGTGACAGTGTGAAAATAAATAAATAATAATAATTTTAAAAAAATGAAAGCGGAAAAGTAAAAATGAATAAATATTCATTTTAAAAAATATATTTAAAGTGACAATGTAAAAATAAATAAAAATAATAATGAAAAAAAAAAATTAAAGCAGCAAAGTAAAAAGGAATAAATAATAATTTTTAAAAATATATGTAAAGTGACAGTGTAAAATAAATAATAATAATAAATTAAAGCAGCAAAGTAAAAATGAATAAATAATAATTAAAAAAATATATATTTAAAGTGATAGTGTAATTAATTAAAAAAAAATGAAAGCGGGCAACGTAAAAAAGAATAAATAAATATATTTTTTTTTAAATTACAGCGACAGTGCAAAAATAAATAAATAGTAGTTAAAAAAAATAAAGCGACAGTGTAAAAATTAATAAATAAATAAAAAATTTTTAAAAAAAAGGTTAAAGCGACGGTGTAAAAACAAATACATTTTTTAAAAATGAAAGCGACTGTGTAAAAATAAATAAATAAAAAAATTAAAGTGGCAGTGTAAAAATGAATAAATAAATAATTTTAAAAAAATTACACGGACAGTGTAAAACTAAATAAATAAATAATAAAAAAAGCAACAGTAAAATAAAAAAATAATAGTAATTTAAAAAAAAAAAAAACTGACAGTAAAAATGACTAAATAAACAATAATTTAAAAAAAATGAATGCAACAGTGTAAAAGTAAATAAATAAATAAATAAAAAACTAAAGCGACAGTGTAAAAATAAATAAACAAATGATTTAAAAAAAAAAAGTGACAGTGTAAATATAACTAAACAAATAATTAAAAAAAATTAAAGCGACAGTGTAAAAATAAATAAATAGCTAATAAAAAAAAAATTCAAGTGACACTGTAAAAATAAAAAATTAAATAAATATATATTTATTAATTTTAAGCACCCCTCCCCCCCTTGCTTACCTGCAAAGGCAAACAAATGCACGCACGCAACAACGATCGTCCCATGCATGTGACGTATCGCCGCGAACGTCTGGTCACGGGCAGGAATTTTAGCACCAGATCTCCTGTGTAAATCTAAAGCGGTAACCAGTAAAGGCTTTTAAAGCGTCGCCTATGGATAGGAAAATTTACATTGTCACCATTGCGATTTTAAAGTGTGACATGTTTGGTATCTATTTACTCGGCGAAACACCCTCATTTACATTGTAGCAAAAAAAAAAAAAATGCATTAAAATTAAAAATGACTGCGCAAAATCCACGTGACATGAAAAATTGCAAATTGCACCATTTTTATTCTCTAGGGCCTCTGCTTAAAAAAAAAAAAAATTGGGGGGGTCTAAATAATTTTGTAGCAAAAAAAAAAAATATATTTTTACACACACACACATATATATATATATATATATATATGTAAAAATATATATATTTTTTTGCTACAAAATTATATATATATATATATATATTTAAACAATAAATGATCCCCTTTAGAAAAAAAAAATGTATTTGTTCCTGTGCTTTGTTGGGCGGTAATGGGGTCCAGCCGGCAGCCCGGGGTGTAGGGTGCGGCAGTGCACCCCCCCATCTGTCATAACATTCTCCTGTGATGAAATAAATCCGGACGTCGGCATTTCCTCGCATCGGCTGTGTGCGCTCACAGACTTGTGGTCACAACAGGGCGTGGCCCTATAAATGTGACATAGACGGGCGCATCAGACGGTGACTTTATTTCCTGTTATCAAACTTTAACAGTAAAAAAAAAAAAAAATTACGCCGCCAACAAGGGGAACCAAAATAAAATATGAAACCCTCGAAAAAATCTCCACACTGTACAGATTGTATTTAAAAAAAAAAATTTAACCATTTGAAGTCCAATTTTTTAAAAATTCTCACACCCGTGTTAAAATTTTCATTATATGCTAGAAAATGACCTAGAAAAAAAAAAAAAAATTTATGAAATCAGAGCCTCCTCCATTTGGGAAACAAACCAAAAAAAAAAAAAAAAAAAAATTAACCACTTGACGTCCGGGGGCAATTTTTTAAAAATTCTCACACCCGTGTTAAAATCGGCATTATTTGCTAGAAAATGACCTAAAAAAATGTTTTCTGAAATCAGAGCCACCTGGAGAATAAAATGGAGGCGGCTGCAATTTTTTTTTCATGTCACACAATACATTGAAAACTTAAAAAAAAAAATAAAAAAATTCTTAACCACTTGAAGTCCGGGGCAATTTTTAAAAAATTCTCGCACCCGTGTTAAAATTTTCATTATATGCTAGAAAATGACCTAGAAAAATTTTTTTTTTTATTTCTGAAATCATAGCCTCCTGGAGAATAAAATTTCACACATTTGGGAAACTAGAAAAAAAAAAAAAATTATCTTAACCACTTGAAGTCCGGGGCAATTTTTTAAAAATTCTCACACCCGTGTTAAAATTTTCATTATTTGCTAGAAAATGACCTAGAAAAAAAAAAAAATTTATGAAATCAGAGCCTCCTGCAGAATAAAATGTCACACAACATTTGGGAAACAAACCAAAAAAAAAAAAAAAAATTAACCACTTGAAGTCCGGGGCAATTTTTTAAAAATTCTCACACCCGTGTTAAAATCGGCATTATTTGCTAGAAAATGACCTAAAAAAATGTTTTCTGAAATCAGAGCCTCCTGGAGAATAAAATGGAGGCGGCTGCAATTTTTTTTCATGTCACACAATACATTGAAAACTTAAAAAAAAAAAATAAAAAAATTCTTAACCACTTGAAGTCCGGGGCAATTTTTAAAAAATTCTCGCACCCGTGTTAAAATTTTCATTATATGCTAGAAAATGACCTAGAAAATTTTTTTTTTTTATTTCTGAAATCATAGCCTCCTGGAGAATAAAATTTCACACATTTGGGAAACTAGAAAAAAAAAAAAATAAATAAATTATCTTAACCACTTCAAGTCCGGGGCAATTTTTTAAAAATTCTCACACACCCG